CAGCATGTGAATCAAAGCAAATGGGGAGGCCAAAACATCACTAGAGCATTTCGTAGATGAGACATTTCAGCTGCAAAGATACATTGTAGCAACAACACATAAACTGATGGAAATCCAATCAAAGATCTCTTCCAGCTGTGTTGAGAAGCAACAAAATGTGTAAATTCTTTACAAGTCCTCTGCGGCTCTTCATAAGGTTAATGAAAACACTTAAGGTTTTGTACATACAATTCACATACATATACAGGGATAATTGGTTGTGTCTAATCTCTCCTACAATTTGGTTAAAAATATAGAAACATTGTGTATCAAATTTAGAGAGATTTGGAGCTAATAGAATAAGGAAAGATACCCAGTCCGGTTATTGGTTTGGTTTACCCTTATGAATGCCATCCATAAGCACATGATGTTTTTGGAGTTTTAAAAATTTCATCACATATACAGTTGTTTTTGTGTGATTCACCATATGGGTGTTGCATCTACCAAGAAATTATTAAAACGGATAATCTTGTGCATGTAATTTACTTGTAAAATAGGATTTCAAAGCTACAAAATACGTAGCTCATGTTTGTCAAAGTATATGTGTTCGACAAAAGGATATCTTAAACGTTTTTGATGACTTGAAAGGTTTTGATGACTTTTCATATTCATCTTTAACGTTTTGGTGCTCAAAGACAAGCACATATATGTTTGCGTGCCAAGAACTTATTAGGTCTTGTTGAACACCCGCTGGCGTCAGCTACCTAACTTGGTGATTGTGAGAGGACAGAGAGGAGCTAGGAAAGAATCAACGAACAACGAAAAGAAGGCTGATATGAAGAAAATGTATGAACTTATTGACGAATACAAGCTGAACGATTAGTTCCGTTCGATCTCCTCCGTGATGAATCGTGTTAGGAACGTTAGCTTTACCCTTACATCGTGATACCAAAGGTGCGTTTGTGCAACCTAGAATGTATGAAGGCATGAAGCCCTCGGGTTGACTTTTGTGGAGCATGATATGTGTTACCAACTTTTGCAACTCGCACCACAAGCCTTTGGCTTCCAAATGTGACTTTCAAAGAAAATGTAATCTTGGTTTTTGTTCTCCTTATATTTAGGAAATCTAGATATTTTAGCTCTCACATTTTTGCTCACTTGCTAGCTCTGTGAATAAAATCCACTGAATCCTACCTCAAGAAGAAATCCAAAATATTCTTACATGTTCACTTAGTGATATAAGATTGAATCCACCAAACTTATGTCCACAAGATGATCGAGAGTTTACAAGCTATGCACGCAGAAGATGGATGAAGGTAGAGATGGAGATGAGGTTTTTTATCGTTGAATCACACAACAACACATGAACCAGACTGTTTTGATCTCACAAACAACCTAGAAATGCAATCATACAGGACAATGGAATTTCACCAATGGCTTGAAATGACAAGAACACAGAAGACACACTTCTGTAAAAAAAAAACTTAACGTTTTATTAATTAATTCAAAGATGAAGGGTGATCTACAATGATAAAAAAACTGAGCTTATATAGGCTCGAAACAAAACATCTCAGAAGGTCTAAAACAAGAAGCAAATAACAAAAATTAAATAAAAACTAGCCGTTGGAGAATTGATGCGAAATCGGCCAAATAAGGTAAATAGGGGGTCCTTGTATCTTGAAAGCTTGGGCATGAAAGTGTGATGTCTTGGGGCGTCAAGAGTCATTTAAAATCTATCCAAACGAAACATTTTAGAAGAAAGAGCCGTTGGAGAGATAAAGCACCAAGTGTGAATGTGTTGAATGCACTTGGGTCCAAATAAGGCAAGTGGGTCTTTGAGTGATTCCAACTGATTCTCTGCGTTTTGGTTGATTTATTGACGTTCTTCAAAGATAAATTTGAAGTCGCCCAAATTTGGAAGGTTCCAAATAAGGCAAGCCGATGATCCTTTGGTTTAGAAATTCAATAACTCTTAAAACCCAATCGTATTGTCATGAATCCAATTCGAAGATATTCTCTATTGAACCAAGATTCCATAACAAGTCGGTTTGTATCTTACTTCGTCCTGGTTCGGCAGGAATTCTCCAATAAGTGCTCGCATGTCTAAATCGGAAAAGTACGTGATCATTCAATTTGCCGACTGAATAACTCCTTCATATGAACTCCGATTGAGCTGATTCAACTTCGAGCGTGCTCTAGATGAGCTGATCATCTTTCCCAAGTAGTCTTATATTCTGAATCATCATTGTTGAGCTGGAAGATGTTGAACAATTGATATAGGTCTGCATCAACTTCACTAACAAGGTTGTCTGGAATCACCTTGTTCGTAAATTCATTTCCGGTTTGGTCCGAGTTCCTATGGACCCTGTTCCAATTTGTAGCGAGTCTTTGATGAGTCAAGTTTCTATGAAAATTTGACTTGCTACTTAACTCCTTCTTGTTGGTTCAGTAAGCTCCATGAAAGGCACTTGTGTCCATGTCGGATCCTATGTGGCTCGAGTGGTAAGTTTGATCTGATTTAATGACCGCATCACTTAGTCTCTCTATATTCTTGTGTAAGCAATAGTGCAAATATATATATATGCAGTTTGTAGACAATTTCAGCAATGTTCACTTACGACATATGTGTAAGTGTATATTGCGTCTTTGTGTGCGTTCTTGTATGTTTGTTTTTGTTCGCTATTCAGTTCAATGGAAAGTACTCAATCTTGATACTAATTCTTCAATGATGTTTTGAGCTGACTGGATTAAAAATGAATTACTTTCATATTATAATTTTGTTGTCAAACACCAATAAAATTGCGAATTTTTCTTGTTCCCAAGACCACTGTATAAATAGAAATTGTGCGAACGTAAACTTAAATACGAAAACATAAAAAATAGTAATGTATCCCATATGTTTTATCAATTTTTAACATCTAAAAACTCAGATTTAAAACAAAAATATACATGTATGAAGAAAAAAATCCGCGAGTACATGCGGATATTGGTTTAGTTTGAATAATATCCTCCAAAACAGCCCTTGAACGCGTGGAGCAAAGTTTTTCAATCCGTTGGATGAATTTTGCCTACCACTACCACTAGAACAAAGGCCATTTGGTTGAACCAAATAAAGTATACATGAAAGTAATGGTATCTTCAATAAATTATTAATTCATTTTGAGGTGCAAAATATATGCCTTTTACTTTTCACTGTCTCATAACGTATGAAACAAATACATATGCATTTTCATTAAGATTGTATAAATGGTTATGATTCTACCAGATTATGTGTTTCACATTTCGGAAAACGTGTAAATGTGTATGCTATTCCACCCCATAACTTTTTCTGCTATCATTGTGAATGCAAAGTTTCATTTTTCATTTTTTCGGTTTTATTACAAAGACAACGTTTCTCAACACAACGGAGAAACAAGATTACAACAAGATCATCACAATCATCCATATATATAAATAGTCTTCTTTCAGATAATATTCTCTTCTC